CCTAAGCTCTCTGTCTTAAAGTACTTGGGGATAGCTCACTGGTGGAAGGCTCAAAGAAAGTATGCAGTTGTAATATGTTTATTTAGCGCAGTGTCATGGTCCTTCTGATAAGAAAGAAAAGAGGTAATGTCTCAAGGGGAAGAAAATCCGTGTTTAGAGCTGGGCATATGATAGCTGTGAGGGAACAGACTGACTTGAGGATTTTAAGTAGGTTGGCTGCTGCTATTCTGGGTATATTTTTCTTTTTTTTTTCTTCCTTCCCCAAAAGGAGTTTTCCAGAGATAAGTAAAGGCTTACCCTTCAAGAATTGGCTTTAACAAGAAACCACAGCTCTAGAGCCAAGCTACCACAGTTACTCCTCCCTATGTGCAGAAATGTGCAAAGCTGTGACTTTATTGTATGGAAAGCCATGACAGCCGGGGATGCCTTCTGCCAGACGGCCCTGTGTGCAGACCTTGCACGTGTCCTCAGCCGTTGTGCCCAGGTTGGAGGGCCGGACTACCTGCCAGTTGGTTGTTCAGCTGTGAGTCATCCTCATGGCGTTCACTGACCGTTTCTGTGGTTTTGGCTGCTTCTGCAAAGCTTCCACTGACCAGCTCGGTACTAATTCATTTAGTCTGAATCTGTAAACACTCGATTGATAATCATAAAGGGGCAATATAAAAGCCTGTGTGCTGTATGGATTAAAAGAGCAGACATGTTTATAGCCTGATAACAACAGAGTACTCTGGCAAAGATCAGGAGTCTCAGATTTCCATATCCAGATGATTTTATTTTTGGAGTCCGGTTGGTGGTTTTAATTTTTGGCTATTGCAAAACCATCATAGGTCTTAGCTGTTGCAACATAGGAGGAGGAGGAGGAAGACGTTGCTTGGAACGGGCGTTCTGCGCTCTTATTTAGGAGGCTTTCACAGTAGTTGCTAGTCTCTGAGTACAGCGGGAGGAATGATGCTCCCTCCTCACTGCCTAGTGAGGGGAACAGGGTGCAACTGTGTCACTTAACAGTGCCAGCTGTGAGGGGCATGGACAAGCTCCGATGACATTCCTGCCCAGCTCCAGGAAGGGAATAGCTGAGGTGAGGAGCAGGAGGATTGTAAAGTGGAGCCCTATGGAGAGGAGGAGGGGTATCCTCAAGACTTTAACCAGGAAACGGACTCGAGGCAAAAAGAAATGGAGAGGCAAGCAAACTCTTATTTCGGCAACAATCTGTTGTGTGCTCTGCTCTGGGGAGGGCTTGCAAGTTGGAGCTAAACCAAAACACTAATTCTGCTTTTTTGGGGGAGAGGAAGGGTAACTCTGCCTGGTACATCAGCCTTACCCTATCCTCTCCGTTTCTCCTTTCTGGGCTGAAGAGGCTTTTTGAAAGAGGGGCTGTAATGCCAGGGAGCACTACAGTGTGCATGTGAGCTTGCTGGGAAATTCGTGTCACTCTGCATCCGTCTTCTCTGGCATGCCTCACACTGAGCAGCCTGTTACTCTTCAGTGCAATGCTGTGTCCTGTGTTACAACTTCGACCTGAACTAATTGGCAGGGATGCGGAAGTGCCCACGGCAGCGGGTGTAACAGTGCTCTCTCTGATGTTGCCTGTTTTGTTCCTTTGAATTCACTTTGGGGGGAAAAACCCGCATCCTAACGTAACATATCAGTAATGTGGGCATCCTGAGTGTCACTGAGGAGTAATTCATCTAAAGATGCTTGTAGGGGTTGGAAAGCTGAGGGCAGTTGAAGTATTTTACCTTACTGACTGTTCCTGAAGAGAACATAGGAACAAAGCTACCCAGAAAATGTTTAAGGCTTTTGATTACTGGGGAGGAGCTGTTTCTTTGACATCTTTCCTCCATCGCTTCCTCCTTTCTTTCCTCCCTTACTGTTACTGAAGTATTCCCCACTCTGCAATGGCTAATCCTGGGCAAGCATCACTCTGGGAGCCACAGGGACCCCATCCCTCTGAAGGGGGATATTCCCTAGGCGTGATCTGCTGTAGCTACAAATGAACAAGTTTGTTTGACTTTGATTACTTCCTAGACCAAGGAATGTATTTCTATTTTTTTTGTCTTGATAGGAACCCTATAACACTTACACAAGCTTCTGTTAAAACAGTCTCTTAATTGTGTACGTTGCACCAGCCACTGTAGTGACAAGGATATCCTCCTGCAGTGAGTACCTTTATCCAAGGCAGGACAGAGTAAATGGCATTGTAAAGTCCTGCTGGGTTTTGGATACGTGAATGCAGATACAATGTATCTTGCCAGACTGTTGTAAACCCTCGTTTTATGGAATCAGAGTTGCGGAGGTGGATTTGAAGTGCTGCTTCTCCAGGTTTCCTGGCAAGGGGTGCTTCCCTGGCACGTGGTCCCTGGCTCACCATCCGCCTCCCTCGGTGGCTGATGGTGGGGTGTTTGCCAGCCTGCACTAAAGCTTGGTCCTCTTGTTCCCAGCAGGGACACGTGCACCACGTGGGCACAGACTGCTTCTGCTACCAAGCCAATGCTGTGTTTTGGGGTTTTTTCCTTACTCGCATGAAAATTATCTACGAGATTAGAGGAAAGAAGACATTTGGGGTGTCTGTTTAGCAAGTAGCTTCCTTCATTTCCCCTGCTCCCTTTTACCCTTCCACACAGTGAATTTTCTGCATAAGCATAAGGCCATGATGTTTTCTGTTTCTCATTACGGAATTAGTATTTATATTAAGACTAGAATGAAGTAGGGGTTGTAGGTGTTAATTGCATAAATAGGTTGAAGGAAGATGATAATGCTGCTCCATTATGGACTGGAGACAGAGCTGTGTAGGAAGCAGCATGAAAAAGGGAAAAGCATCTCATTACACTCTGGGTAACCTAGCCAGCACTGGCTTAAACCAGAACACACAAGTCGATTCATCACGAACACAAATACCATGCTTATTTGGAATGAGCAGCTATGGTGAAAATATTTATTATAAATTTCAATGTTGTCAGTTCATGGTCTTCTCCCCCTGTTCCCACTGCTGGCTGTGGTTCAACTATCTATAGAAATCAAACACAAACTTCTAGAGGAGATGACTCCCCTTTAAAGAAAATTAACCTATGTAACCTGATGAGAGTTAGAGGCACACTTAGGCAGCAACGAAGTCATCTAATTTTCAGGATTTCTTAAATCTGGTCCAAAGGGAGGCATTGTGATAGCGTTTCCTTTCAGGAAATGGTTGAATTAATTGCTTTTTGTTCTAGGATTTTCATTTCACAGGATGCTGTTTTAATGGCTGATGCGTTCTTTACCTCTCTCTTGGCAGGGATGCTAGTTATTTGTCTGTAGAATCACTTTGCATCTTTAGCCCCAATGCATATGAACATGCTGCGTTTGGAAGTACAGTGCTGAGTATCCTGTGCTTGGCGGTCAGTCCCCTGACTTGTCTGGTGGACAGTTTCAGACCATGCTGCTTCCTTCCCGTCTCTCGTAGCCAATTTGTCATCAGAGATTCAGGAGACTTGGAGCCTGCTCCTGGCTCTGCCCCCATCAAATGAAATGGGGCTTTCAGCAAGTCACACATCTGCTTCTGTCTCCCCTTTACACCTTTACCTAGAGAGACAGGAACTGCCTCTTAGTATTTAAGAAGTATAATAATGCTGTTGGCCCAAACTGCTCTGCCCTAATACCCGTTGCTGTAATTCAGGAAATCTGTAAAATAATTTTGCATTAAGGCATATTGGCTCTTAGAAGTTGTCAGTGCCTTTTGCTCTGGCTGATGCTTTGAAGAGTGTATAAATGAGGGCACATTAAGAAACCCTGAAATCTTAAAGGTTTTCATGACTTCTCAAGGCAGTTTCCAGGCAGAGCACAGTGGGTCTGTGCCTGGGCTTGGGAGTGCAGAGGCCTCTGTCTGCACTGTTTATGTTGCATCAGAGAGCTGAGATGCATCTCATACAGTGAGCAGCAGTGCAAGGAGGTCTCCTTCCTTGTCTGTCACGGTGGTGTGCCTGCCTCGCAGCTCCACCCCGAAATACACGATTTCAGTTTGGGGGTGGAAAAGTGAGAAATCAAAGAAAAAACCCAAGAGAAAATTCCAGGAGTTTGGGGAAAGGGAGGACAGTTATTTTGGACCTTTTTTCGCCTGTTTGTGTGTGAGCCCATTCTCATTCATAAATGGCTCTGACACTCGAAAGCCTTTCCTACAAAGAGAAACCAAACAACTGGAGAGGTTGGCTCCAAGGGATCCAGAAAAGCGCTGAAGAGCAATGGAGAGGGGGAAGCCGGAGCGTTCTGTGCCCCTGTCCCGCTCGGGGCGGCTGTGCCGTGGGGAATGCGGAACTGTGGAGCTGGCGGGGGGCGGGCAGGGGGTGGCTGTGTTTGAGCGAGGATCTGGAGCTATAACTCCTTCTTTTTTTTCCTTCTTCTGTTTCAAGTAAACACTCTTCCCCGCCCTCCCCTCTCTCCCTCCACCCCACCTCCCGCTCTTTCAGTCCTGCTCATGTGTTTCTATTTAAGGGCTGCAGTGCAGACGAATATGATTGGCATCTACAGCCCCCTCTTGACTTGCAGCTCAAGCCTTTAGAGTGGAGAAGGAGCTGAGCCGCCAAGGGGAGAGCTGTTTGTTCTTTGGGTTTACTGGGGGGATGGCTCAGCTGTGGATTTATGCTGCTTCAGTCCAGGACTTTTCTCTCTGAATGGGAGCAAGGATTGTGGAAACCATGTTGGGAAGAGGTTTATTTTCAGAATCCATCATGAAACTTTGCAGCTAATTCACTGTTTTTTGGCTCTTTTTCGTATATTTTTTTTTTTTTCCCCCTCCCCTTTTTTTTCTTCTTCTTCTCTCCAATGTCCCTCTGTGCTGCTGGGTTGTGGGCCAGAGGAGGCTGTTTCTATATGGCCAGCCATTTGGGGATATGCTGCGAGCCAAGGTTGTTTGCTGATTCGCTTGGCTCTGGTGACAACTTGGCCTGTTGTGAATCGGATGGACGGAGGTCGCTCTCAAGGAGCCATGGCTGGAAGCTGGCTTACGGCTTGCTTTTTCCCTTCCCCAGGTGCTGATGCTAGCTCTGAACCCATGATCCTGGAGCAATATGTGGTGGTGTCCAACTATGAGAAACAGGAGAACTCTGAGATCAGCCTCCAGGCTGGAGAGGTTGTGGATGTCATAGAGAAAAACGAAAGTGGTAAGACATGTTTGCTGCTTTTCACTCATCCAGTGATCCAATTTTTTGCATGTGTTCCTCCTCTTTCGGTTTCCTCATCACTACTTGTGGCTGTACGTTAGCTCCATCTGGTTCGCTTACTATGTCTGGCTGAGGATGTTGTAGTTTCTCAATGTTGATTTGGGCTGGGGGCCAAATGTTGCCTTCTACTGTAAGAATGTTTCATAGGTTTTGTGCATTAATTAGCCAGGATACGCTAATGGAAAATGAAGGTGAACGAGAGAAGGATCTGCAGCTAATGAAGCTGATGTCTACTACACTGATATAGTTGCCCTCCTGTCTCTTCAAGTCTCTGTCAGCATTTCCATTACTAACTCCCTTTTCGGAGGATTTATAGGATGAGTGTTTAAAAATTGCTTAGGATGAAACTTGGCTTGACAGCTCAGCCCGTGGCCCAGAGCTCAGTAGGGAGGGCAGAGAATGTGCGTAGATATATACGTGGCCATGCACAGTTTCAAAACTTGTTGCAGAAGTGTTAATTGGGGAATTTTGATGCAAGGAGGCAGAGGCTGTCATGTAAAAGCGAGATGAAATCCCTTCTGCAATCCGTGGAACAACCAGCTTGCACTTGGAAAATGAGATTTCTGGCAAGCGTTTGTATAGATGTCTTTTGTGTACTTTAACTCTTGGATGCCTAATAAGTTTGAGGCAGGCAGAACAAATGCAGGAGGCAGTGTATGTGTGAGTGGTTGGAGCGGGTTAGCAGCTGGTTTGAATAACTGCCTGTCTTCAGCAGCTCCTCCTCCTCCCCTCCAGTGCTCCTTGTGTATTAAGGCAAAGCTCTTGCCCAGGACTTGTTTCCAGTCCACTCATGACTTGTGTGTCCTCATCCAGAGGAGCATTTGGAGATGTTTAAGCAAAGGCTCATGTTGTGAGAGCCCTGCATGTGGAGCTGCCACAACTGGCTGGCTCTGGAGCAAGCTGGGCATGCCAGAGCTTGAGGGAACCAGGACACCCTGATCAGATCCAGCTTCCAGAGCTCAGTCAAGTTATCCACAGTGATGACCATACCTTGTATTTTATTTCTTTTAATGGAGTGGTAATTTCTCTGCTGTATGAAAGCCTAATGCTTGTTTGGCTCAAAGTGATGCAGGCAATTGCTGGCCTCTGATTTAGTGTGGTGTCCAAAAGGATAGTGTGTGGAAATGCACTGGCTAGGGTGAACAGAAATGCCTGTCTCCTGGGTACTGACTGTATCAGTCGCAAAACTATTAGAGGCCAAAATGCTCATCTGCCCCATTTTAAAGCAACCGTTATGACTGAAGGGGGAAAAATGTCTTAACTTCTTAAACTGTGTCTGGGCTGCTGGACAAGCATCCTCCCTTCCAAGCGTGAGGGCTCCTCACTGTCAATAGTGGGTATTACTATTGTCGGAACAGGGCTGGTTATTGTGGCAACTAGTATTCATACCCATGATGTCTCTGTCTTGGATAATGGCATATGGAGCCAAGGCAATTGGGCTGTTAAATAATGCAAGAAGTGTCTGAATTCCAAATTATAGTTCCTTTGTATTTTCTTTTAATGTGGCTTCTCTGCCTTGCATAGTTTGCATCATATTGTATTGAACCACATGGTATGTGGAGTTATAAATGGAGTGTCAGGGTTTGAATTTAGTGGGTCCAGAAATGTGACTCTTCTAAGGAAACATCCTTCAACTTGTAGTACAGTTCTTAAGACCATATTCTGATGCTTAGCAGCCAAATTTTTTAATGTCCATGTAAACAAAGAAGGAAATCTGAAGTCCTGATCTTCAGGACTATGATCTTGAACTCCATGCTATGATCTTGCCTATATATATGTGTGCATGTGTGTGTATATGTATGTATAAAATAAAGGTACAGATACATTTAAAAAACCCTAAACAAACCTAAGTCACAGATTGGTGATGGAGAGAGCATCATTTGTTTGGATGCTTGTCTAAACTGTTCTGGCAGGGAAATCATGTTTTAGTTGTTCCAAGAACAGGAGTCAAAACATACTCTTGCTCTATCCTAGGTTGGGGATACCACAGGAATGACTTTAATACTATGACTTCTTGTCTCTTCAGCTATAGCTGAACCTATGAAGGGCATATAATGAAACTAGCAAAAGTTTCTCAAGTGTCAACTTTCAAACCTCACGAGCTATTGTTTGAATTTGGGTATCTGTCTAGTGTAGGCAAGCAAACCTAGAGATGTGGTTGTAACTTCTAAGAATATAGGGATATACTTTTCAAGAAAATAGATTATTGGACTGTGCACATATGTAGTCATTCATCTGACTGTATGTTTATATTGGCTTGGTAAGTGTTGCAAAACTATAGCTGTAATTGTATAAATTAAGCTCATTCTTCTCCTGATCCACACAGACAAAGGTAATGTAAGGTGTTGTGAATGTCACCTGCAGCAG